AATAGATCAAGATTTCCTCTAATTAATGATTAAGAGATTCAGTTGTATGGAATGAGTTTCACCTAAATGTATAGTAGGTGACCTGTCAATAAGAGATTAGAGAAAAAAATGTATTGTTGGGAATTGCACCCTGGTTGAGACATATTGTTTAACTAAGATACATCGCTATCATTAATGAACGAAAATATAGGATATAATAAGAGATTGTAAACATCTAATTGGATGGACGGCATGGCTTTTGACATGAGAAGTCTACCAATTAAGTGGAAGATAAAAGATTAAGTAATTCTAGTTTCATACAATTTAAAACCCCATTTGGACATTTAACATCCATTTTCATATAATCAACAACCCATTTCATACAATCAACATCCCATTTCATACAATAATAAATCCTAACATCCAATTTAAAAACTATAAATCATCCATAAAAAGCTTTGAACCCAAACAACAAATAAACTAAATCAATAACATATTCTTCTCAAATAAAACCATTGAATCATAATAAAAATGAGGCCATCAAATTATAGCAGAATTATCAATCAAATCCAAAAAAAGTCCCTTAATACCCATCTCTAATTGTTCACCAAAATTACCAAGAAAACTCAAACTACGTCCAATGACATATGAAATCAAGCAGAATAGAAAAAAATGGAGAACAAAACATACCCTTTAACCTCCTTAGAACTTCAGCTTGGGGAAAAACCACGTTTTCTACTCATAGGATTGAAGAACGTCGCTTGATGATGGGCTTCGATGGTGGGTGCTGCTGGCTGGTGTAGGGTGGTATAGTGTGGTGCTGTGAAGGTGGGGGTGCAACGGTGGTGTAGGGTGGTGGTGGGTTTGCTGCGATGGTGGGTGGTGCTGTGATGGTGGGTGGTGGTCGTTGGAGGTGCGCCTGAAGGAGGTCAGGAGTGGTGGCTACTGGGTCGCCTAATTGAAGCTAGGGCAAAGAAATTTGGGGAAAGAAAGTGATGGAGAAAGAAAGAAGGAGGAAAGTAGAGGGAATCGGGTTGAAGCTTAAGACGTCAACTCAAATGACTCGTCTCTTATAAAAAGGTTAAATTGACTGACGTTTTTAATGGTGGGCTGACCAGGTGGGCTAAGCTACAGTATTGGGCTAAAAAACGTCAAATAGACTGACGTTTTTAGGATAAAGATGTCAATCCATTTGACATTTTTATCCTAAAAACGTCAATTCGTTTGACGTTTTTAAAAAGTCCCTGTATTTGGGAATTACTTACAAAACCATCCTTATTTGAGACCTTTTTATTAAAAGTCCATGAGATAGGTCAAAAGCCCTTAAGTTTAAGTAAGAATATATATTTTATACTCGACAATTAAATTCAACTAAATTTGAATACTAATCATAATTACTTCAAATCGATAATCGAGTAAAATGAAATTTAGAGGAGGAATTTTAATCGTTTGATCAATCATCTAAAAATAATCTGAATCACAAAAAACCTTAGTATATAGATATATCACATTATATATATATATATATATATATATATATATATATATATATATATATATATATATATATATATATATCCACCTATTATACCGTTCGAATATTATAGTATTTTTATTTTAATACAAAATATGACTTATATTATAGTCATTCGACTCGTTTTGACGTAAAAAATATTTATTTAAGGACCATTTGTTTATTTAAAAGTTTTAAAAATAATTTTTAATTATAATTATAAATAACAACCTAATTAATATGTAGAATGACATAGAGAGATAGAGAGTTATACGAGATATATGAGTTTTAGAATTGTAGAATTAATGAAAGTCTTACTCAAAAAATTGGGGGGAAGACTTTTGGTATTAGGACTATCGGATAAATATTTCTTCAAGCAATCTGAGCCGCAAAAAGTTAAAGACAAAGAAATCTAGTTACTTTATTATATAAATTATCTTAATTGAAGTAAAAATTAGCTTTATTGTGAGAAAAAAAAGTACATCTCATGGCAATTGAAAAGCCTCAAGGTTGTGTCGCCAAAGTTGACACACTAGAAAGAATGCAAAGTCATATAGCAATTGGAATAAGCCAAGAGTCTGCCATCAAGTTAACATTAGAATGCAAAAGAGTGAAATGCTTTTGTTAAATAAAAGGTCAGGATAAAATTGAAATATAATGAAATTAAGACTTAATTAAAAAAAATTAAAAATATAATTTTATTGATATAAAACAAAAATTATAGGACTTCATGGATATTTATAAAAAAAGTAATACTTATTGATAATTTTTCATATATATATACAAAACATTTGATTTTAGTACCTTCGACACATGCTATTAAGGCATACCACCCGCCGCAAATATATTGTTATTAGGGATAACTTGTGTTTGAAGACACGATACATTTAGATATTAAATTTTTGAGAAAGATATTAATAGCCGATGGATGAATCTATTTAAAATCATCAAATAAACTTATTGAAATTTATCCTATTTTATGTTATGAATTTTACTATTTCACACCCTCAAACTAAGAAAATCCATCTGCTCGCCGCTTATTTACTAGAGTTAGAAAAATCACTCCGGCTCCCTAACTTTTTAGTAAAATAATAGTAGACACACCCCTTACATTAGTATGACTGACGATGAATTAAGGATGACGTCAACAGAAAAATCACATAAGCTGCAAGACATTTTTTATCCCAAAATATCACATGAAAAGACGATTCTACCCCTAAAAAATATCAACAAAAAAAAAGTAATTATAAAAGACAAATGATGGTAAATAACCAAAAATTAAGGTTTACCATTAAAGATCTCACTTACAAATAAACTTATAATTCGACCCCAAAATATTTTTAAAATTTTTCGTGACCACGGCCACAAATGTACGCAGTTGCTTAAGGCTATCCAATTTTGTACTCTCTTCGTTCTTAAATATCTGTCGTTTAAGATTTTTGCACAGGGATTAAGAAGCTATTAAATAGATCTAATATAAGTAAAAAATAATTACACAAGATTAAAATATCCTTATTCAATACGTATTAGGAAGGAAAATAATATGAAAGACATTTAGCCTACACTTAATCTATTAAGCACTTATTGAAAAATAAAGATAAAAGTAAATTTGGAAGAAAAAATATTTATTATGCTTTGATTTCATAAAACGAAAGATATTATGAAACAAAAAAAATTGTGTAAAACGACAGATATTTAAGAACAGAGGAAGTAATAGTATAGGCCCCAATTGATCATAAGTACATACGATATATGAGTCTGAAAGCAAAATGCTCAAATTGTATTATGAACCCAAATTTTGAAAGTGGTTCATCACTAACCACAGCAACCCACTAAAGTTAGTAGACCCGCTAATTTTTGTTGTATGATCACTACTGTAATGAAATTAAAAACTATGCAACTAGCGTTTGTTTTATTTATTTTGGTTTTACAGCCAGGATTGTATGGGCAATCTTACGCACACCTCGACTAATTCTCTCCTCAATCCAGTCAGAGGCAAATCATCTACATTGGAACTAAGGTATTCATGAGAGATAAATCTCTCGTAACCTAGCTCGATGAGCTGTCAATATTCGAACTCAAAATGTCTGAGTTTAAAGCTCGGTCACGTTACTACTAAACTACCTTGGATAAAACAAATGATTTAAAAGCTCAATTAGTATTTTTGCTTAAAAAATGATTTTCAAATGAATATATATATATATATATAGACACACACGTAAGAATATTTTCAATCCTGTCTCAAATTTAAACTTAAATTTAAATTTTAGTAAAAAAACCAAAAAAACTTGGTCCAACCTTTACTTAAACTTATCTTTTACTTAAACTTATCTGAATCAAAGGAGATTTATTTTTTTATTCAAATCAAGAAAAACTCAAATCTTTACCAAAATTTTAATGGTGAAATTTCAACTTCTTTTAAAAATCTAATGATCATATTTATTTTCTATTAAATTTGAATTTACTATCATTTAAATTTGAGTTTCTCTTTTTTTAAATTTAAGAGTGTCAATCGTGTCGAGTTGAACGGTTACATATCGGGTTAAACGGGCGATGGTGAAAAATATACAAACCCATACACGACACGTTTAATAAATAGATAAAAATTTTCAACATGAACACTAATCATTTAATAAATGAGTAACAAGACACGATTCTTTTAACCCATTTAAAAATAACAAAAATAAAAAAATTATTATTTTAACAAATTTTTACCCTTCATTTTTTTTTTTGGCTTCTTGCTTCAAAGTATACTTTCCTCGAATGGAGAAGTTCCAGCCAATAGTCCATAATATGCCACACCACAAAAGTCAGTTGAAAGGAATAGACTGCCTCTTTTATAAGAAACTAATGCCCCACTCCACTCCCCTGTGTCGATGCGTGATTCAAAGAAAAGGCCATTTAATGCCTAAAGGCTCAAAACTTTTGTTTTCTAATTTTTGGAACTGTTTTGCTTACTTTTTTTTTAAAAAAAAATGTTTTTTTAACCGTTTTTTCTTTGCTCATTCGTTATTTTATATAAAATAATTATTAATTTATTATTATATTAAATTTATTTAAACAGGTTATAAACGAGTTAACATGTTTCATCGAACACAACTTGTTTATTAAATGTATTTGACCGGCAAACCCATTTACCACCAAAACCTGTTAAGATCTCATACAAACCCGTTTAATTCAAGTAAATTCGTATCAATTAATCGTGTTGTATCAAATTTTGATAGACCTATTTAAATTTGAATTTCTCCTTTTTAAAATTTGAATTCTTTTATATCAAATAAAACTTTTTGTTCAAATTTAAACTCAAATTTGAATAAAAATTTAAATCTTTGTTAGAGATGCTCCAACATGAGAGTGGCCAGCGTTTTGTCCACATGTTTAGTGTGTGAGAAAGAGAGAGTGTACGTACAACCCATGAGGGTGGTGTTGTTATATTTATAGCATAGCGAGTCATCTTGTTGGAGATGTAAATGCAACAACTATGAAGGAAGATCATTTCCTTCCACCCTTATCTTTTATCTTCCTTGTTATTGGTTTCGGTAGAGCACCGCTCCATCACCACGTACCTTGTTTGCTGATGGCAGCGCTGCGATTGCTGCACTTTCGCTAGTAGTATAATTTCTCTTGAAGACACAGGACAAGGTGGAATCGATCCACCGCGATGGAGAAGACTACCGGGAGAAGATATACCGGATAGAGGAGCTCAATCCACATCAAAAAAACAAAATTCTTTCAACAGATATGAGAACATCTACTAGCAATATAAACCATCTGATAATTGTCAACATTTTTCTGCCACTCCTTAGTTTTTTATGACAGCTCCTCCATTGACAATTTCAAGAAATTCTTATAATTTAAGGGGTACACTACAGGATTCCACGGGCAGGGGTCATAGCCCCCCCGGGTGGGGGGGGTGGGTGATCATAGGACAGCCTTCAAACCGAAGGCCTACATATCATACATTTTTTGTAAAACAATCAAGCAGAGAATTAACATGTGCTTGCATTACCTACTCTTACAAACTGGATTTTCAAGGAGTTTCCTGCTATCCTTCACAATACCTATAAGACAAAACGGAAAATGTTCAAACAGTCTTATGGAAGATTCAACCAGAAGTGCAAAGATTCTGGTCGGTTAATTGGTGAAGGTGTCAGAATGGAACAATTTATTTTGCAAGTTCCTCTAAAACAAAAAGCGATATAATGCTTATTTTTCCAATCTATGGGTGTAGAAAAGAACCGAAAACTGGTCATCACCAGGCCAATAATGGTGCCAGAATTTGCAGTTGCACAAACAACTTTTTAATCTAGGATGTCAAACAAGTTTTTAATCTAATACAAACTGCGTGACATTGACAGTGCTCAAGCCCAAGCAGGATACCACCAGCTCAATATAATAGCCAACAAATTATGGTTCATTACTGGGTACATACTCCAACACCAAGGGCAAGTTTTTGAAATAAAGAGGGTATAATGATACAACAGACTAAGCGAACAACACCACTTGGGTTCCACCCAAAACTAAGCACATTCTATACCATATTTGGGTTCCACCCGATACTAAGCACACACAAAATTATACTTGCATAGGATGGGAATGCGAAGGAGGTACGTACTTATATCAAACAACCTGGACATTAAAGCAATGCCCTGAAAAGACTCCAACACTGTATGCCAAACCTTTTTCCTCATAAAATCCACAAATCAATTATGAGAACCGCTGGACAGAGAATAATTGTATCATATCAATGTGCCAATTTCTTCAGGTGCTGAAACATGCGTTGCTTAATCCACTGCCGGTCATATGGAAGGAAAGCCTGCAATGAATGATCATAGCTGCAACCCAACACCAAGCATAAGCATTAGTTAAATCACTCCATTTAATCAATGAATGAGTGCATTTGCATGTGGCACAATTTGTTTAATCTACTAATTGTTCACATGAATGCATGAACCAAAGATGAGTAAAAGGATCATCTTAGAGAGAATGGTCGGCCCAGTTGAAAACGAGGAAAGCATCTTGAGATTAATGCACATATAGGAAGTCGAAAAGGTATTTGGCTTTTTCATGCAGTCTATTCATATAATAAGAACAGAGAGATCTCCATGACCCACATGTAAATTGCTTCAGAAACACACCCACACCCACACCCACACCCACACTCACACCCACATCCAGAGAGAGAGAGAGAGAGAGAGAGAGACGTTAATGCACTCATGTCTGCAAGACCATCAATGAAAGCGTAGAGATCTTCAATATCGTAAGTGATGTTCCTGATGGCTGGATTTAGATCTTTAAGTTTCCTTTCATATAGTCCACATATACCTGCAAATATCTAACACAATGAATAATACTATATTGTAAAATTAATCAAAAGATGGATTCAAGTTTTAGTTAAATAACATTCATTTTATTTTAGACTGGAAAAAAATGAATCAAAAATAGATGGTTGAATAGCTCCAACAAAGTCAAAGGAAAAACAGGCTAATTACATTCTTAAACACAAAACATAATATGAACTACGAGAGATACTAACTGCTCAACTGAAGAAAATCCATTTTTGAGATGGAAATTAAAATTTCAAGAGGTATCAAGGAGATGCTTAGCACATATATGCTAAATTCCACAACAGAAGTTTCTTGAAAGATGTACATCACTTTTCCAGCCACATGAAATGAAATATTAAATAACAAGCTGATCAACAGGAAAAAAACGTTAAGCATACGCCCTACCAAAAAATGGCTACACATAGAGGCACCACAAGTAGGCACAGGGTATTGGTAGGGGATTATGTGTAGGTTTCTACACTACAGGGAGGCGAAGTGTTGCTATAATGCTATGTCAAACCACAAGTAGGTAATCTATAATTTGCCCCAACATTTTTGAAGTCCAAACAAGTTGTATGTGTATTATGTATGGAGAGTGTGTTTTACAATAATAAAGCTAAACATACCATCCATTGCTTGACTTATCGAACCATAATCCATAAATGTTCGAGTTGCTCTGTTTTGAGATGTCTGCATCAGAATAATCGTGTGCCTATTAGCCTGCAAGCAAAAGTCAATTCTATTAACTTTAATCCCTTGTTAGAGACAAGGACCATCTGCAGGTGCCCAGAAGGCCTTTTTTTAATAGGCAAAAATGATGGAAACTGCTAATGACTCACATTAACCTTCAAAATCCTTGGTGCACTTGATAATAGTAACAATGTAGGACTCACATTCAATCAAGTATAGAATTTCCTAAACTATTAATGGGTTGGATTGCAAACCTTAAAAACAAACCGAAGTGTGAAGTCCTAATCAATGCAAAGTAGGGATCTTACAACTAAAAAACTCCAACCAACAGACCAGCTTTAAAATTTATAAAATACTGAAACTACAAGTACCAGCAAATAAACACTTTTACTTCTAGAATAACTCAACTAACCCTAGCCAAGAAAAGGAAATAAATAAAACCACGATCAAACATATAATAAACCAAGGAAACTAATAATAACAAGCTATATAATTGTTTAATATTTCATCATACTAATGAAGCATGTAATTGCTTAGGCCTTGCTATCCTCTTCTTGTTGATTTTGCATCTCATTAGAACGAGATTAAAGTATTTTAAGGCATCTAGCACCGCATATTTTCTTGTCTAGAAGTATATCTTTGCAATATGTTGGAGACTTGTAAATTATAAGTATCCAGATGTACTTAATCAATTTCTTGCCCTTAAAACTTGAAGAAATAACAAAAAATATATTTTTTTGGGGTGGCTGTATTCCATCAGTTCATAAATAGGATCATTCTATAGAATCATTATAAGGCACTACAAGTTAATATACATTACATAAATTATTCTAACCAACCTATTATAAAAAAATTGCAAATTTCTCACAATTTCTCAATAGGAATGTTTATAGCATAAAGTCAAAAATAGTTATATGAACACGTATGTTTTATACTCATTCAGGTGACATGCCTTCATGATCTCTGTCATTCCCATATTATCAATACAGGATGGGCTTTCTGAAGTGCTGCCTGCGATTGCATCTTTTAGGAGACTGATTAACTACCTCCATAAAAGCAGTGTGAGACAACCACCACCACCACATTTCAGGCTCACAAGTTTGGCTTTTTTACATCAATTGCTTTATTTACATCCAGCCTCACTAACTAAATACTAAAGAACACCAGTTGAACTCTCCCGTTGATCCTACATGATCACATTTTGCACTCCCTTCCTGATGCACATGCAGTCAAGATGCCTTCCTCATTGTGATCATTTGGGTGCACATAGAAGGTTCACCAATAATTAGTTGTTCTTTGATTTATTTTCTCAATCATCAGTTTTCTTAAAATGCAATTTATTTAATATTCACTGGTACATGAATTAGGAAATCAAGTTCTCCCAGCCTTCAACAATAATTTATTCATCTCGAAAAGTAGTGCAATAATCATTCGTGGACAATCCTAACGCCCCTGGCTCTTACACACACACACACAAACAAATAAATATACCCATGCACAAGTTAGATTAGATACAAAAAGAAGAGGCACATTCCCTGGGAATTAGGATTGTGACTCCTTTGGGTGCACAACCTAGCAAAAGAATTTTTTAAAGATTGCCAAGCATATCCTTTGCAACAAGAAAAAAAGCTTGGGAAAAGTGATTGATAAAGAGGTATCAACTAAATGAAAGGCATGAGGAAGCCCAGTTCCCAAGATTGTAACCAAAGAATTATTGCCAACATAAGCGAGATTATCAGGAAAGCCCAATTCAAAGCCTGCAATCTGATTACAAGTTAAAGAAACTATAGCAACATTTTATTTTGGATGCAAAAGGAAAGGAAATCTTAGATTTTGATATTCAATCTACAAAGGACATGTAGGACAACTCTTTGGTTAATCAATGGCATGTTAAAAAATTGTGGCACAGCCACAATGTAAACAAGGGCTTCAGGCCAGCAATAATAACAAGTTTGTGACATTAAATTTGGCCACCTACATGCCCCCAGCATTCCTAGTGAGAAGTAGCTCTTCCCCTATATTTATAACGTTTATTATCCGTCCACTTTTCTTATAGAATGTTGCCATTTGAATGTTTTTTGTTCCTGTCCTACATTACAAACTGCTTTGTGGATGATAAGATTGAGTTATTTCAAGAACCTAAGTTTGTATCAAATCACTTAGCAGTTCACATACGACGTAAGAAATTCCATTAAACTCAAGTCCAGCTTTTTACAAGAAGACCTGTGAAACACAAAGCATATTTGTAACAATGCACAACTCTATCCATTTGAGCCCAAAAATTACAGCAAAAGCAACCACCATGCTCAGTCTAAAACGCTTCCAATTAAAAAAAAAAGTATATTTTCTTGAGTACTTTAGTCTTTTGGTGCAAATAAATCATGACCCGGGAATGATAGATTATTTTCTAGAGTTCTTTGGTTAATGTATATCCATTCTTGAGCCATGGCCTCCATTGTACACGTTGCATTTGATTGGCATCTATCACTGTTTTAATTCTAAATAAAGTTTATGTGCTTATCCAAAAAATATATATTATGATTGTTTGGGTAACAAATATCTTATATCATCCTCATAACCAATGTTACTTGGATCGTGGGTAGCTTTGGTACATTGTACAAGTACGCAGTACAATACTAGTTTCTTAAATACATAGTACGATGGGGATAGACTTAGGTGGTACAGTATTTTGGGTCGCAATTAATTTTTGAACTCTTATTTAGATTGTTTTCATTACTATACGACATTAGATAACATAGAATATCCATAAATACTAAGTCAATTACCATTTATCTTGTATTTTCTATTATGTAAAACAATTTATGATTATAAATCTATATACAAGTAGTTAATTAATATGTATTTTATATTTGTGTTATATGTTCTAAAGAGAATTGATTTAAAGTTAGTATTACAATTTGACGTCGTACATTTTTGTGATCCAGATCAAAAACCTACACCATTTGGAAACTATGCTCATAACACTAATACAATGCATAAATAGATACTCATAACAATCACATCAACTGTCAATACAGGTCCCTATAGGCATTACCCTTAAACCATGGACATCATCTCCAAAACCACAGGAACCACAATGAAATCCACCTCTGAAATGATTTTATCTAAATTAGTGGATAAACTATATCCCTTCAGCTTTCATGAACCCCATCACCATCAGTGAAACGATTTTACTTGTAATGGATATCCAAATGAATTATCTATTTTGAATCCATAACATTATGTAAAAAATATTTAAAAAAAAAAAAAAAAGAAGCTAAGGAGTCACTTCTATAAACCATGGGAATCATCCAACACACCACGTTTAGTAATACTCGATATCAGTATTCATGTTAATCATCTCATCAACAATTCAGTAACATACCAAATTCACTCTTAATGTTTTATCTATCAGCCAAACAACTCTATCATTAAAGGATTCCAAAATCTTTTCTAATAGACTTCAATCAAATATTTGAAAGGTCGTTACACAGAGCAATCCCACTCTCAGTCTCGCACAGTGAGGAAGAGCAGACTAGAGACAGGCTTAACCATTGGCATATTCACTCTAAGTGGCTGTATTCAGACACGCAAAGTAGCCCCTACTTTTACCAAACACTTTACCATTTAACTAAGCAATGGTCCCTACTTTTACCAAATTACTATTGAAAAAAATATGCTGAAAATATCAAATTGAGCTGAAGTAACCATGCAAAACCTAACTGGGTACCAAAAACTATTTCAATGAAAACCTGTTGCTAACGAAAAACTCAAAAGTTTTCCAAAAATATAAAACAGAATAACATTAAATAATAAACATACACATGACTTTTAGGGTTTCAATAATTCAATCAGTCCTAAAAATAGACCCACAACTCCTCAGGAAGAAATATGCATGTATAAAAACCCTAATATAACAATATAAAAGCAATATCGAAATCCAAATCCAACTATTCCCGATTGAGATCACAAGGCAGATATCTACACACACACAAATACACAGAGTTTGTTACCATCTTTATGAAACGAAGATCTGAGCGGAGCGAGTTTGCTGTTGCAGAGCTTCGACTTAGAGAGAGAGGAGGAAGAGGAGGGGGGGGGGGGGGGGGGGACGCTTTGGAATGTTGCCACTTCACAGGACGCATTTTAGAGAATATACTGCGCCAAAATATCATTATGGTTAATACCACTTTAACCCCTCAATGTTTTACAAATGTCAATTTACCCTTAAGTATTGGTTGTCTGATGGGTCATTTGAGATGCAAAGATGGAGGATACTATGCACCTGTGAAGGGACTAGATTTTGATTTGAATTCAAATTCTAGTTAAATATGAATTAAATTTTTTTATTTATAATCCGAATCTGTAATATATTATAAATTGAATTTGGATACACTAATATCTAATTTATTAATAATTCGATCTAACACGTATATATCTATATAATAAAGTAGCTAATTTAGTTTATGTTTAAACTTTTTGAGGCTCATATCGTTTAGATTCGAAGGTCCTAATTAAACTTTCATTCCTTTTATAACTCTAAGATTTTTATCTCTCCTATAACACTATCTATCTATCTATCTTATACTCTCTCTCATACTATTATTTTTTTTTTATCCGATGTTGTTTTTGTTATTATTTACTTCATAAAATAGGTGAAACTACATCTTATGGAATTATTTATTCCATAAAACTAATTCAAAATTTTTATATATATGATGACATATATTTTGCCACTTCTTAATTTGTAAATAATATAAATAAAAAAATAACACATTAATTATAAACACCAAATAATATTCAACACGAAATGAACTTTAGATATAATATAATACTTCAAGAGATTATATAGAAAGAAAGCTTTGATAAAATGAGAATTATTGAATTATTCAAGAAAACTTCAAATGTGGAACATAGGATTTAATTTACGTACTCAAGTGTATTAAAACTTCCCCTAACCTTAGTAAAAAGGATTAGCTAGCCATGGAGGATGAAAAATTATCAAATTAATCTTAATACAAAATTTTCAAATCTGGTATGAAACTCTAAGCTCTCCATGAAGTGCGAAGGTACTTTCAAAAGAGGAAGAAGATCTCATTCTCGCGTCATCGGGCTTTTTTCATTGGCTAAGAGTATAAACATGCGTTTAGACATGGATTTTATGACGTCCGGATGTGCCTTTAATTATGTCTGAATGTCAAATATTGAAAAGTTTAGCCTATTTTTGCCTCTGATATAGAACCTTACGTCCAGGCTTGGATAATTGACATCTAAATGTGGCCTTCAATTCTTAAATCTTCAATTTTATTATTTCCTTTGTATATTCCACTCCAATGTTTGTATATTTGCCTCCTAATCTCACCATTACTTGCAAATATAAACAAACACCAATTAAACCATAATAAAATCAAATATAACGTTAATCACATACAATTAGGTCCAAACCCGTGACAATTAGTCCACAAATGATAGGATAAATATATAATATTTTAGGACTAATCACACTCCCTAACCTGACTCTTACTAGTCCCTAGGAAGAAGCAAAATAAGAAAAATAAACTAAACCTATATGTACATCTACTTTTGTAGAACTCACGATTGTATTTACCCCATGCAACAAGCCTTTAATCTCCTAGGTAATCCCTAATGGACAAGTGTAGTCTCGTGAGAGTTTATAGTGGTGCTATCCACAAACATCAAATTTCAAAGAATTATCAAAATAATAATTTCGTAATACAAATAAGCATCATAATCTAAAAACTTAAATTCATATGCAATCAATAAGCATTTACAAAAGCAAGATATAGAACATATCGTTATATGAAAGTATACACTAACAAGTTACTATGTAAACTCATGTGTAGTGTGAAATGATTGTATCAAATCAACAATCCACCAAATGCTCACTCCTTCAACTATCAATCTAATTTGTTTAAATGACAATCCTCACAAGGTATTGCCTATAAAAGAATCTCTCAGATTATAGTAGTTCATCACTCATATGTCACATGTGAGTAAGAAATATTTAACTCAACACAAGATAATGTCCACATGTTAGATACAATAAATGAAAAATGAGAGGAAGAATTTTGACATGATCAACAAATAACAAATAACATGCATCATCAATACATTTTTTGGGATAAAAAAAGACTTTACTAGGTTGTAATGGGACATTGGGGTTAAGGTTTGATGAAATGAAAAATATTCAAGAATTCAACATGTTATTCTAAGATAAAGCATTACATTACACAACCATTCTCAATATAATTTTACAACCTTTCACACGTTCGCTTTTAGAAACACATTGCATTTGTATATATATAAGCATTCAACGCTCAATTCATTCCCAAACCAACATCTTCCCCACAACACATATATAAGCATTCAGTGCTCCACCTTGGGATAAACCAAATGTGTATGATATTCTTCCTACACTAAATTTAGTTATATATGACGTGGCTCAAGAAACGAAAATATCTCATTATTAGGCTGAAACACGACTTCTAGAGACAATGATATGTAAAGAATAGGGTTAAGACTCAAATAATGACAATGATGAACTAAGAAAATTTTCCAAGAATTTCTTAGCAACACACTTTCTCATGCATACAATTCAAGGTCAAGAAGTAATCTAACACATCAATGTTAATTAAATCGAAAATAATGAGATCATTCAAAGAAATAGTGGAAAAGATAATCTATTAAAGAGTAAATGTACATAATCACTCTACAATGATAGGCTCAAAACTCATTAAGGCCTTTCCATCTCAGCTATTTGTCTCTAGTCTCCGAGACAATGCACCTAATGAACTCCTAACTTATTACAATATGGAGGTGTACAAGGGTTCAGTTCTCAAGGTAACATAACATGAGATACAAACATATAAAAATTAGTTCTGTCTAGTGCTTCAATCACTTACAAATCTCAAGCTTTGCTCATCATTCTCTAATTGTGATTGTCATTTGTACATAAAATTATTATTAAGATATTCAATGATAAACCCATGATGTAAGACAAATGCTCAGGAAAATAAGTAAATAATTACAGGAATTAATAACCTTGTACAATTTTAAACTACAACTATATTCATCTCACTTTTTAGGCCTTCAAAATTTGAAGATTTTGAACAGAAGCATTCATCTCATGATTCTAATTTGAAGGAGTAAGAACCACAATCAATACAATAAGGAGATAAAAATGAAATTATTTTAAATGAATGATGAATTGGTTACTATTCCTGTAAAATTTGGGTAAATTTAAACTTTTTACGAAAAGGGGCAAAACAATAATTTATCATTACAGTATGGGTTACAAACTTAAAATTTTTTAGATCTCGAATAACGAAATGGACCTCACCGTTGGATTTGTCTCGCAAAATTTAGTTATCTTGTAAATTTTTGTTAAATTATGAGATAGTTAGATTTTGCACATTTTACGAGGTGGTCGGATTTCGAGTGACCCAAAAAATGAAATTTTTAATAAAATTTTAAAAATTAGAAAATAATTTAGTGTAAGTTGAAATAAAAATATTTGAACTTGAACTGGAGCGAAATTTAATCGTTTCGGAGTGAAAACAGACCTAAGAAAAGGAGGTTGTGTAGCGCGTTGTGGGCCAAATATCCTAAGAGTATAAATAGAGGAGAAAAATCAGATTTCTCCCCTATTCATCAGCTGGGTTTTAACGTTAAAGAGAAGAGAGGGAAAAGAGAGAAAATCAAACTTCTCTCTACGATCTACACCTCCTCGTTGCTCAAATCAACTCGAGCCAAGTATTAAAGTTATTCTCCTCGACGAGGGCTACGCGGTCATACCAAAAAGGA